AAGTCATGTGATTGGTTTAGGGCCGGTCTATTACAGGTGGCATAGCCTCTGCGCCAAGTTCAAGTGGCGTAGCCTCTCCGCCAAGTTTCAGTGGTGGCGTGCTCGCATATTATATATTTTTACAGTTTTGACATGACTTCATGTGGCATAACTTTGGATTGGCGCAGACTTGAGCATTGTCATGTGACATGACTTGTTCATCTCTCCCCTTCGCCGTTATTCCATTGGCGGACACATCTTTTGAGTTCAACTCACAAGCCAAATATTATTATTCTAGTGGCACATATAGCACTTTGTAGGTTCCAAATCGAATAGCTTTCTTGTTATCCTTCCAATGTCCCTTGGTTGCCTCGTGCCCATATTGACATCGAGCTTACTGCACAGAAGTACAGCTTGCCAGATGAGTCCTATGGCTAGCTAGTGGGGTTGAGTCCGAGTTGCAATCTCTAGCTTTGTATGAAAGCCGCAATGGCATCCTCAGTCTCCTTGGTTTATCACTGGTTTGCAGCACTGCTAACGGCTTGTAGTGCTCAGTTCCGGGAATGTAACTAGCACCCTGTGTGTCTTATGCCTCCCCGCCATAAGGCTGGAAACATGCAAAAGTAGTAATTTCAGGGGTGCACAGATGCACACCCTATCACCGTCACCGCTGCGATCTCTTTCAATCCCGACTTCTGCCACTCTAAGCTTACGAGCCCTCGTAATTTCTGGCAATATGTCCATGTCCTCTTCGCTCTCACTTTCACTCTCCGAATCTTCCTTTTCGGTACCCTTCGTCGCTCTTGTCCTCCAATTTCTACTTTTATCCGCAGATTTAGCTTCTGACCGGTCCTCAGGAGGCTTTGCTATCTTACTACGCAACTTTGCCTCAATCCCTGGACTATTTAGAAATTTGGAGGCTGATTGACTCCACTGGACTTTCCTGCCCTGGTCATCGCGATGAATTGTTCCTGAGTCTGTGCAGACCTTGGATTAGGAAGCTCCTAAAGGCTTGTTGCATATCAAACGTGGGCTGTACAGGTTGAGGGGGCTGAATAGTGGCCTGATAGGTGGGTTGAACCACCATCGCAGTATTAGTTAAAGTTTGCTGGTTGACTTGTTCGGCTTTTTGGAGCCTTACTTTCAGCGTCTTTATTTCATCTAACACCATGTCCCTGGCATCAAACTCTTCTCCTGGTTCTCCGTTGAAGAATGACTCATACAGCGTGGCTACGCCATACCAATTCTGGCTAGTCCCTTTCTTCTGCCAATACGCCTCTACGTGCTGCTTCCTAGAACCGGGTCCTCCTGGAACCCATTTTCCATCCCCTAGCTTGATTTTCTTGTTCTGGATAATAATAAGACCCTTCTTTATATGATCGTCCTTGGAAACACAATCCCACGAGAAATGACCCGGTAGTTCACAATAGAAACAATCGGCATTACTATTTCCCGTGTTATTATCAGGCCGGTTGTAGCTCATCTGATTATGCATCTGAGAGGTATTGTGCTGAGTATTCGCCACCACGGGCTCACGGTCTTTGTGAGGCGGTGGGCCTTTAGTTATTTGTGAAAGCTGTTTCAGGAGCTCATGGTGCTGGTCCTTCATAGTGTTCTGGCTAGTTGTAAATGTGTCTCTTAAGTGTGCCACCGCTCCTCCTCCTAGTTCCTCTAGCCTTTCATCCCGCTTCTCAACTTTTACCACTGGGAAGACAGTAGACCGAGTAATTGGGGTTTCAGCGGTGACCGACGTCATGGAAGTATCTTGGGTTGACGCCATAGATTCAGCCATCATTATTAAGTCCAGTATTTCTATAGGATCCCCTTTTCTGCGCACTGCCGGCGCTGCTTGCCCTGCTATAGGTGCTACAGCCGGTACTAAAGGCGCCATCTGGGTTTTTAACAATGCCATGGAACTAATAGTCAATCTTAGAGTGTTCGTGAACACCGACTCTAGAGTCTTGAGGTACCTTTTACAGGCCTCAGCATTTGTGATCAGCACAGATCCTTTCAACTATTTGTTGACTATGGTAACGAACTCTACTCCGAAGCACCTCAGTCTTCCTTCATCGAAGACTGCCACTCCTTCGTATTGTTTACACACTTTTGCCAGGTTCTCAATAGAACCGTCTTCTTCGATCTTGACTTCCGAATAACTCTTGAAATTTTCTTCCGAGAATTCCTTGTAGGTTCCGATCAAATATATGGGAAGACTGTGCCAGTAGACTTGCTTCTTATAGGGAAGATAGTCCGTGAACTGCTTCTTTTTAGCGTCATTCGTAGTAATGCGCGCAAGTTCTAAAATCTGATTCACTTGTGAAACAAATATTAAAAGCTCTTCATAATCATTCGACTCGAACATAGGCCTATTCTTATCCCAAGCATAGGGGATCTTGAAATTGGCTAGGCTCGGAGTGTTCTGGTTATTGGGTGGGGCGACAGGGTCACCGCCACCTTGGGGAGGTATCTGAGTTCCCATTAGGAAATTATTTATTGCGGATGTGAATTCTGATGTAGAAAGGGACGGAGGAAAATCTATTTCTTCCTCAGGTATTGATTCTAATGGACCCGAAACTGTAGTTAAAGCACTAGTTCTTTGCTTATACACTTTTGTTCTGCTTTGAGTTTGGTCTTTCGACTGCTCTCGGCCTCCTTCAACAGGAGTAGGTGCTTTACGCCTCGATTTAAGCTTTGGGGGATTTATGGGGGTCGGTGTTCCAGCCTCAAAATTCCTTAAACTGCGTCTCGGTGGTAGACTCTCGGAAAATCCTGAAGGGACTGTGGTAGCTTCTCCCAATGAAGTAAGCTCGGATGGTTCTGCTGACGCAGAAGTACTGGCAATAGGATTTTTCGATCCTGAAGGCAGATTGACTCGAAAGTCCTTCTCAAGTTGTTTAGACTCGGAGTATAATTCCGGACGGAAGACTTTACAGCTGCTTGCGGAACTTAGGGCGCGGTCGATTTTTCATCAAATTTTGATGGTTTCACGAGAACTGCTGTTACGGGCTCAATTCTCTTCCGATGCCCTTGAAAGTAGAAGCATTCAATTCATATTTCCATTCCGGAGGGCGCTGCACCTCGGAATTAGACACGAGCGTGAGAATTGCCTTTTCCGTCAAAATTCGAGGATCCATGCTAAATGCGAGGCGCGACGTGAAATCACTATCCGAGGACGTCATGCACTCCGGGATACATGTAATCATAGCATATCCGAAAATCAGGTCAATTGAACAAGTGTATCAATTACTAGAGCGATTCTGTGTGGAAGCCTTGAATTTTGCCGAAAAAGGCAATTCCCACGCTCCCGTCTAATTCCGGGGTGCAGCGCCCTCCAGAATGAAAATACAAATGGAATGCTCCTACTTTCACGAGGATCGGACGAGGATTGAGCCCGTAACAGCGGTTCTAATGAAAACATCAAAATTTGATAAAAAATTGGCCGCGCCCTAAGTTCTGCAAGCAGCTGTAAATAAAGTCTAGATACACCGTATTTGACTGTCTTTCCAACTGCCTAAGCAATTGAAAAGTCTGTACTTCAAAGAAGTATAGACCAAATGAACCCCTCGCGGTGGGCTCCAGATGAAACACTGTTTATGTAACCGCATATGAAATCTAATGCAATATAATGACCTCGAGAGACCACTACAGTATTTCCATGGTCCTTGCACCACCTTTAAATTGACCGATGTTTTTGCCAATTGTGGGGACTGTACCTATGAATTGAATACCGGAGGAGGTCCACACAGGCCCATAGACCATGCTACATCAAAAAGATTTGAGAAAATCACCTGGAATTGGCGAGTTTTAGGCTGATTGTGGTGGACCACGCTTGTAGCGATCACGGTCCTTGCACCATGCACAAATGAGTGCACAAACAGTCCGAGTTTGAAAAACTTTGTCATGGTCTGATTCTCCCATCTGCTTTCCAGCATTCCACAGTTCAAATTTCGCAACACGAGGCATGAGAGGAGGGGTGTGATTTTTTTTGTTTGTGTATGTGTCGCCTCCAGTGAGTGTGATCCACCGTTCTAGTGCAATTGCTCGGCCGCTGTACTCCCGATGTACTAGATATTTCAGTACATCACATTCGCTATGCGGACAAGTCTCCTGCATTTTTTCCCAGCTGAAAAACACATTATTATTCAAGCACGGTTGCAAACTATCTGCGGCAGGACATAAATCGCTGGAATTGGACAGAGTTGTGGAGCTATATGTTTCAAAGAAAATACACTCATGCACATTAGGTCGGGGTCTACAAGTCCACCAGCAACAGCCATGCAAAAATCTTAGTGGATGGCTTGCAAAAGAAAAGTGGTGCAAGGAGCGGTGATGGTGCAAGGACCATGGAAATACTGTAATAACACCAATAACACAACACAGTCCACTCAATACAATGTGTAAGTTCGGGGTTCCAACCAAGTATTAGGTTGCTGCAATTTGGTACGATATGGTCAAAGTAGTAAGACTTTGTTCTACGGTGAACGGCTTTATACCGATCTAGGCGCTTTATGAGCGGTCTAACGGCTTCGGAAAGCTTGGTTTTATCACAAGGGTGGTGGAATGACTTCCTGGGAGATGGTAATTCACTTTTATAACGCTGTCTGGTGTATTTCCGATGTTTACAAACTACATAGTACACATCGGAATCACAGTGTCAGCAGTCCAAAGGACATAAACAAACCACTCTGGAGTTAAATCCACCAACCCTTGTTGTAAACCCAGCCTTTCTGATGCCTCTAGATCATTGTCAAAGCACCTTGAACGGTCAGGACAAAGTCCCTATTGCCGAATTAGCACAAAGTCTACTACATAAATTGTATTGAACCAAATTGCAGCAACCTAATACTTGGTTGGAACCCCGAACTTGCCACGTTGTTTGTGTGGATTTTTTGTGTTGATTTTGCAGAGTTAGTTAGTTTGTTTGTCTCGCAAGAGTCAGCTTACTATGCATCACAACTTCACATACAGTTCTGCGTGCCGCGAGTCACCGTGCCGCAAAAATAACACGCAAGAAGACTCAGTGTCCTCGGGCGGAATCGAACCGCCGCCCTCCCGGTGGAAGTTGCTTCCCCATCTACAGTAACGGGATGATCTGCCATGATCCATGAGGACGTTGATTTCAGTGTTCAAATCTATATTACAATTGAACACCTTTGATTGACAGTTGACTCGAGTCAAACTTGATCCTAAAGTCCCCGAGCTCCAATCGACGCCATCTGCTCCACTCAGATGTTCATTGTTGGATTCTCCGCGGTCGCTCCACTCGAGTGTTGAATTTCCATTTATAAACTGTTGAGATCCACAAAAACTCGGGTGGAGTTTTGGTAAGCACTGGTTGAACATTTCAAGTTTTTCGGTGAAAAAACTAGTGAAAAATGTTTTGAATTTTACAGCAATTTTTCAGTGAAAAACCAAGTGAAAAACTTGAAACTTCTTCATGATTTTCTTGAACTTCAAAACTTTTTCAGCACTTTTTCAGAAGTTTTTCACAAGGTTCAAAAGAATCACAAAAAAGATTCAAGTTTTTCACCTACTTTTCGGGCGAAAAATTGTTGTAAAATTCAAAACATTTTTCACCAGAATTTTCAGCAAAAAACTTGAAATGTTCAACCAGTGAAGGCATCAGTTAATATGGGTGGAACTTCGGGACGGTCATTCTCAGATTTGGACTGAGGATTTGAACGGGGAATTGGAAATAGGTTTTCAAATGAAGCTAACATCCCGACAATGGCGGGTTTTGACTTCAGTCACGATAAATAGGGGAGGATGACTTGGGTGAAGTAGATTTTTGCCCAACTCGGCATGCAATGAAGGCATGTTTCCGGGGGGATGGAACTTTTGTTTTTCAAGACACGAGGTGAGAGCAGGCGTGGCAGGATGATTGATAAAGGCTGAGTGCTCAGCTTTGATGTTTTTTTCTCTCTCTCTCCGAATGAAGGTAACACGGCACTTGAATTTCAGAATGGCAGTTAGGGAAACGTCAAAACGAAGGCGACAGAATTGTGGATGATAACCGGTTGTATGACTAAGATAGCCAGGCTGTTGAACTTGGGATCAAAGAAGGCTGGGTTGGACGGGGTTCTGCTTTTCTAATGCGGCAAGGTGAGGGTGGAGATCTGGGTTGATTTTTCTTTTATGAAGGTAGCATTAGAATGAACAAGGGGTGGACGGGCCGCTTCGCGGTCCGTGCGCCCCTTGCCCCAAAGTTAAACACTGATTTTCCAAAGATTCGGGACTGATGAGCCAAAAGCGGAGTTTAAAAGGCTTCAGACAGACACCCGTAATTTTATAAAGAGAGAGAGGTGGGGCTTTGAGAGTACGGCAATTGGAGAAAAAATGAAGATGAGGACTGCTTGAATTTCAGCAGAATGACAGAAGATGAAGTCCGAAATTCTAGCAAATACCGTGATACCGTGATACCAATGGTTGAACAGGAGCGATAAAGCCAAACTTTCAATGAATGAGCCAGTTTTATGAGAACTAATTGAATATTTCAACGGGCCATTGGGCCACGAGGAGTCAACCGAAGGTTGACGACGAGTGGCGCTGATGAATAATTCTCACAGTGTAATGCTCAGACCGTAGCGAAGCACGGGTTACTGCTATTAGTAATATAAGCTAGGATAGGGCAATCAATCTCTTCTACAGTACAGATCTGTATCGTCATCAAGTCCCTTTGCCTCTCACGATTGGGTAACTACCAAGCATAAGGAACCCGAGGAGTTCACTCTGTGTGTCACCGCGTACCAGTGTGCGCAATAATTAAGTGTCCTTGTCCCTTCATTCACTCCTACCATACTTAGGGGTACCGCAGAGACGTAAACGCCGACAGCTCACACCGGGATTGGCAAAACGAACTGCCCCCGTAAAAAGATGGCGAACAAGGGTTACCATGTCCCCGGGCGGAGTCGAACCACCGCCTCCGCGGTAGAGTGCCCTTACAAATCTTTTTCGAGCAAGAACGGGGCGAGCTGCCGTGCTCCACGAGAACGGTGAATGCAGCGTTGGTTCAGCAATGAGCAGGATGCGAGTGAACACGCCCATCTGCATAGTTTTATAGTACTACCCCAGCTGCTGCACCCGCACTGTGGATCATGTATACGCCGTCCGCGCTGCCGACACCCCAGTGGAACTCCAGCGTGCCTGCAAACCTACTTGCAAAACATGGAACCGTGCTGTAAAATAACTTGTAAGTAGACTCAGTGTCTTCGGGGTGGAATCCAACCACCGCCTCCCCGGTAGATGCGATCGATTACAAGTTCACACTAACGGGATGATCTGCCATGATCCACGAGGACGTTGATTTCAGTGTTCAAAGCAATGTAGGCTGGGATGGAAGTATCTACCTGGGACAAGCCATCTTGTATGTGGTACAGGCGTGCACCGACATCGAGTTCCTTTGGTTGTCGCGTGGAATTCCGGTTTTCATTACACCTGCACTCACCCACACCCACCCTGCCTCATCATACCGCAGAGACGCATACTAAAGGTCACACCGGGGCCAAAACGACTAGAAGACAAGGGTATGTCCCCGGGCGGAATCGAACCGCCGCCTTCCCGGTACCACGATGGCAACAATGATGCACACTAACGGGGCGATCTGCCATGATCCACGAGGACACTAAATACAGTGCGAGATGGAAGTAAATACCGCAGGCGATGTCATATACTTGCCTCGTGCTAACAATATTAATTGATATTGTCACACCTATATATGTACTTGTGCGGTGTTCCACCGCCGGAGCTCCTACAAAGTAAATCGAGTTGAGTACATCTAGAAAAGTAAAAAGCAAAAAGCGAATACTCACTGAGCTGCATGTCCTCGGGCGGAGTCGAACCGCCGCCTCCCCGGTAGCGGTCTCTTGGACATTTATTTCTCACAAGAACGGGGCGAGCTGCAGTGCTCCACGAGGACGGTAATTCCAGTGTTGGTTCAGTGATAAGCTGGATGCGAGTGAACTCGCCCATATGCACTTCAATTATGGCACACAAACGCGCTGCCAGGCCGATTGCGAGGTTGGGCAGTAAGTGTTCAAGCGATTGGCGCTGTGTTAGTATTAGTGATGGCCGGGTCGGGTCGGGTCTTGAAACCCCGGGCTTGGGTCGGGTCTTGACGGGCTTGGGCTTCGAAAAATCCTGAGCCTGACCCGACTTAAAGGGTCGGGCCCAGGTCGGGTCGGGCTTGGGCTCAGGCCCGGGCTTGGCTGCATTTTTCCAACTGATCTATGGTGAGTATTAAAACTCCTTCAGCGTTATACAACGGGTTTCTCACTCGACGGGACCCCTCGCAGACTGTGGAATTCCTAAAATTGCTATCCTGGCGGACTATTTGATGTTATGTTTCATGGTTGAACATAGACAAGTAAGTCTCTTTCAAGTAGAAATCAGATTTAACCTGAGATTTAAGCAAGGATGGTTCAGTAAAAGTGGAATTCCTTTGAAGAATTCGAACTCAGGCTAACTCAAAGAGACCCGGGCCCAAGCCCGGGTCGCGGGTCTGCTGAGAAGCTGAGCCCGACCCTGAGCCCGACTTGAGCCCTATCTCGGGTCGGGCCTGGGTCGGGCTTGAAAGCCCAACCCAACCCTGGGCTTGGGCTTGAAGCCCAACCCGGCCATCACTAGTTAGTATGTAGTTGTGTATCTGGCGCCGTACGTCCGCAGAAGGCCGTCCGCAGAAGGCCGTCCGTGGCGACGAGCAAGTGGACAACTGCACGGCGACCGGTACTTTCGCGGCCCTTCCCACGCTCCGCCAGGGACGGTCCCCGAGAGTAATTTCAGCGCTACTGAATATTAATGCAAGGAAGATATTTGTGGTTGAAGGCCAAAGCGATATAAGTTACAACTTTGTGCCCCACCTACCTGTGCATTTAGTAGTAGTAGTAGTGAAATCTAGTGAATCATTTACCCACACACACGCGGCGCGCACCGCGTTGGCTTCGATCAGCCGTGATTGATTAGCGTTCCTGATTCAGGCAGTTCCCGGGGTTTCATCTGGTTTCATCCCCTTTCCTCCGCCGGTAAGTAGAAGCGATCCGCCCTCCAAGTCGGGATGTGCTGCAGGAGCAGAAAATATCACGAGCAAGAACATCGCACCCGAGTGAAAGATATCGTACACGCGAAGTTTACGGGATCGGCTCGTCGATCCTGAAACGCCGGGTACGGTTGCCCCCCAGGGTCAAAGTCTATTTGATGATTGCATCAGATTGCATCAATAATATCTGTTGGGGTCCGAGTGGGACGCGTGATTTAACCACCGACACATCGTGCTGACCGCTGCTAACCACTGCACGACCACGCCCACCTCTAATCAATGTCGCGTCGCGTCGCGTCGTGCCGAGCTGTCATAAATCAACGTACTATACTACTACTCCTTCTGCGAACAGTCGGTTGGACAATGTTGAGGCAGCCGCCCGACGCTCGATTATCAATGATCACTGGGAAGCTTGACTGCATTGATGTACAGCTCGGCTCTGAGCACTGTAAAAGAAAGGCTTCGAGACATTACACTGTATACAACCCTCTGCACCGTGAAGGTCGTTAAGTGCTGAGTGTTAGGAAAATCGGGAGTACCGGATATTCGCCCGGCCGCGACACAACAGTCCTCCAGGTTCAAGGTCTATTAAGCACTTCTCACGCCTTCAATATTTTCGCTCCAGTGCTCATTCACGACCATGACGGTCTGCCAAGATTGCAGCGAGAACTTCTACGGGCTAGAAGAAGGTGCTTGTAATAAATGCCTTTAGCTTGATGGAAAATCTGCAATAGACCAGGCTTCCATTCGGGTGCGAGGCTGGTTTCAAGGCTCGACACAGTGTCTAACTAATTCTAGCTAAAACCTCAATGCATGTGCTGCTCTGTGGTTTTTGCTCAGCTTCAGGATCCCTTGTCCCGCAGTTGCTGCCTTAAGCTGGGTGAGTTTTTCACCTTCCATCTGGCCATTATTCGTTCTCATCGTTTGCGTGCGTACAGCCAAGGCGGAAAGCGTCCCACGGTCAATCATCCATGTGCCCGGGGCATTCGAGCAGATACAAGGCTTCTAGACAAGTGATTTTATCTCTGAGTTTTGCGAGCTTGCTCAAGGATACAAGCAAACTGCTTCCGACACTCGTCTAGGCCTACCACGCACACAAAACTCGAACCTCCAGAAAACGCATCCGGCATCACATTCGGGATCGGTGCGAGATCAACTGCATGCCAAAACCCTTGAGAAAGCCATTCCTGGCATTGCCAAGGGCATGACCCGTGTCGAGGAGATGAAGGACATTAAAGCAAGAGGTAAAAGGATCAAGATGATTATTTCATTGGCAGTCAACAACGGCAAGAAGCTTACGACGGTACCTTTCTTTTGGCTCGTCAAAATTTCCCGTGTTCATGTTTCTTTTAGGTCTCCTCTATACGCATCGTCCACAATGCCCAGGAAGATCTCCCCATCTACGACGTCATTGGCACGGTGGTTTTGCTTGTGCAAGAGGCCCACGCAAAACAGTTTCCTAAAGTTGCAAAAATCTTTCCGTAAGTCAAGTAGTATCCCTTCACAAATCGCAAACAGTTCAACTGATGTAATTCAGGCAAATGATTACTTTTCACGCTGCTGGAAGCGCCGCAAAATACTACTGTCTCTCCCAGAGTAATTTCAGTGAAGGGACCGTCTCCGACCTGCTCTTATACTACTACAACGAACGGCACATCACCAAGATTCAATTTGATGCAAAGTCGATGGAGCTCAAGTTTGCAGTCAACCATAGCGCCTTGGTATTCGTCCCCCTACGAGTTTCGAATAGTGCTATCTAAAATTTCAAGTACCCCGAGGACGACGACAGCAGCAGGATATCTTCTGCGTCGACTAAATTGAAGAGTACCTCGAGAAGCTCATCTCGAGGTAATTTGACCTCACAATCCAGTGCTGCCTCAGACGACTCACCTTCTATGTCAAAAAAACCCCCACCCAACAAGCGAACGCCCACCTATGCGCCTGTGTTTGCTCGGAAACCCCCTACTTTCATCGAATACAAATTCAGGCGAGTGTCTGTGGACGTCAATGAAACTCAGGTATCATTCACGATGCCTAACAATCATCAGCAAGTCGAGACGATCTTGGTGGCGTCCGACTGGAAAGCGGGGCTCGCTCTCAAGGACAACTTGCCTCATACTAGCAAAAATGCCGACGAGATCGCGGAGGCTATCCACAAGACCGGTTTCATCGGCCAAGGCAGCTCTAAAAATGTAGTCTATGTGAGCTATTCTCTGGTCTGTAGCGCTTTCGATTGATTTGTTCGGTTCCAGGCTCGGATTGGGAACACGGAGTATGCCTTGGGCCAAAGCCAAGACTTAGATCTTTCGGCCTCGGATAATGCTTTGATGCTTCGTGCTGAGCTACGCAACATGTATGTTGGTGAATTCATCCGCGGAGAATTCTTAGCGTGTGCTTCAGACTGTTCGGTGACGGTTCCGGGCAAGTACAATTCTGTATCTCGTTATTTACACAGATCTAATGCATTGTGTAGACTTCCGGTTTAATGTCGAAGAAGCGATCCTTGGGGTGCTGGAACCGTTAGAGACCGGACATATCTCGGCCTCACTAGGCCTTCCATTCCTGGATTTTATTGCCACGAGATATCTCCCTTGTAGTCCGTCCGAGCAGGGGCTCCAGAAATTTACGGGAAATGCAGACTGTGGAAGCCCGCCAAAAGAGTCGGAATCCCTGACCGCAGCTATTCATTCCTTTACGCATTTCACCGTCATATATACACAAGCAAGCCTAGTGTTCTGTGATCTGCAAGGTAATGTGTTATTACCCCCGCGATAATCTCTCTCACTCCGTGTTTCTAGGCATGTGTAATCGCGACGGAGTTATGATGTTGATTGACCCGCAATCTCACTCGTAAGTCTGTCACAATGTTATTGCGATAAACAGGCTAACCACGGAAAGCAGATCTCAGCCAGACAGTGCACTACGTATGTACTGGGACAACGGTCCCCAGGCAATCACCCACTTTCTGGATGATCATTTGCAGAGTTGCGGCCAGAATTATGTCTGTAATGGCCTTGAGATGAAGAATCTCGAATTCGAGCAGGGCCCGACCCCAGAGACCCCGCCTCGGGGAAGCTTCAACTTAGACGACGACGACGACGACGAGATCAACAAGAGCTTTGAACACGACTATCGCCGCTCGCGCTCGGTTTCCATCTCCACGTCGCCGCAGAGAATCCGTAAAAAGCAGAGAACCGATACATCCCCAGCTCCCGCTCGACGTGCCCCTCTTCGTTATGATACATCTCATCTCCTTATCATAGTCGAAGACTTTCTCAGGCTGAATGACGTCTCCAGGATTTCCGACGACTTCGTAAGCAGCGATGAATAATTCAAAATTTGTAGTGCTACGACTTCGTAGAGCACCACTACAAGTCCTGAATAAATTCACGTCGTTTGGGGGCTCATACTGTGTATTGGAAAGAAAGAAAACAAGGCGCTACTGATAGTCATGACACGCCGACCATCGTACATTCCATGAAAATAAATCTGGGCTGCACACGGCTCGGCGCCGAGCAAGGAAATCCAGCGCATTTGACTCCGACAGGAGATCGGAACGAGAGGGGGGAACTCGCGGAGCGGACGGGCGCGGAGCGTGAAGTGGGTGAAATTGACGGTTCGGAGAGCCTTGACAGCCAACGCCGGGCGGCGCAGCTCTGCATGAGGGCAAGGAGCTGCCGTATTGCGCGGCCGGATGTGTAGAGATACCTGAGTTCAGGTGATTAGATGTCTGTTTTAAGCTGGGAGAGATTGACGCACTCCCGACGACGCCGCGGATTCGTTTCGGCCATGGCGACCGCAAACGCGGCCTAAAATGGTGGTGGGAGGTCTCGGACAGTCGTAGATACATTAGTTCAGGGGATTGCAGGAATATTCGGGCAAAA